GGGGGGGGAGGGTGGAGGTTGGAGGGTGGGGGGGATTCGTCGTGCCCACCCGGTTTAGGAGAAGGGGTGTCCTCCCGCCGCCAACTTCCCAGTTTCTTAAGAAAAATGAGGGGGGAAAAAAAAACGAAAAATTGGGGAAAAAACCGAAAAATTGGGGAAAAAAACTGGGACTTTGGGGTCTGGTGGGGGAGGTCCCTTCCCGTCCCCGCGGGGATCCCCCGGAGAGAAACCTCCGTTGGCCCCGGGAGTAAAGTCCGGTGGTGTCGCTACTGTCCCGCCCCCGGGGAGGTGGGGGGGAGGCGGATTTTGGGGCAAAAAGTGGCGAAAAGTGTCGCTCGGGTGAGTTTGGTGGCGGCAGGTAGCTGTGGGGAAGGGGGGGCTCCCCCTCCGCCCCCCCCCCGGGCGCGATGGTCCCCGTTCCTCCCCTGTTGGCTCCCAAAACTTCGTGCTCCTTCGGGAGGGATCTTTTCTAATGGAAAAAAAATATAAAAGAATAAAAAATAAATTTAGTTTTTAGGTAGAACAGCCCCAATTTATTTACCCCCCTCCGGTGCCCCCCCCCCCCGGGCGCGATGGTCCCCGTTCCTCCCCTGTTGGCTCCCAAAACTTCGTGCTCCTGGAGAGATCTTTTTGATGGAAAAAAAAATACAAGAATAAAAATAAATTTAATTTTTAGGTAGAACAGCCCCAATTTATTCACTTTATTTTCATTAATTTGACTTTTCTGTAAATTCTCGTAAATTATACCGTATTTTTCGGGGAGTGGGATTAGTTTGAAGAGATTTAACTCAAAAAAAAAAAGTAAAATGATGCCGTTCAGAGTTTTTAAATTTTATTCAAATTGTTATTATTTAAAAGCGTGGAGGGGGGAAAGGAAAGAGTCGCCTCGTTAACGTCCTTTCTAATGAGTGGGATGTTCCGCTGGAGATAAAATAATTTAAAATTAATTGGCTGCTCCTCGTTACTGCTCCTCGAAGTCTGCGACCTGTATCGATTATCAAGTTGTTTTAGTGGCCTCGGCCTGAGGAGATTCTTTAATTGGGCTTAATTAACCCGCCGAACTAATCTGGAGGCAGAAGGTTTGGGGTTCGGGAAGAAATGGGATGGTTTTTATGGGTTGGAATATGTGGAATGGAATTATTAGGGTTTAGAAAGAAGTTAGAAGTTCGGTCGCGCGCCATCGGAAGCTCTAAAAGTGTCAATGAGTTACATTTTGGGGTTAGATGGTGGGTTTTGCACAATTTGAAGCATCCTGAGAGGAAGGGAAGTTAAGTGGCTTTAATTTTAATTCTCTGGGGGGGGTGTCAGTGATTTCGGACCGCAGCTCGCTCTAAATTTAACCCAACCACACACAGGTTTAACAGTCGCGCGTTGTGGTTTAGCTCAAGTGCGTGGGGGGGTTGGTTGGTTTGGTTTTTGGCGCTCGTTAAGTTGACGAGCGGTTCGGTCTCCTCCTTCCCAAGGTGACGGAGTTGGTGCTCGACAACTGCCGGTCCAGCAACGGCGAAATCGAAGGGCTGAATGATTCCTTTAAAGAACTGGAGTTCCTCAGCATGGCCAACGTGGAGCTGACGTCGTTGGCCAAGCTTCCCACCTTGAGTAAGCTCCGAAAGGTACGTCCTCCTTGCTCACGGGCACTTGGAGAAGTCAAAAGTCATGGGTGACAACCCTTGGTTGCCCCTTTTGGTGACCGTGGTTGACCTGGCGTGGGCTGATGGTGTGTTGGGAGAAGGCCAGGCCTGGAAAACGGTTATTTTTCTTAATATTTGAAGTTTTGGGGGCTATCGCCACTTAATTATGGCCAAGTTGGGCTTGGCCAATGACTCTAAGGACAGAAAGTACACTTATTAAAGACATGAAGGTTGGCCAATGTCTTGTGGTGGGCACTGGGCCGTTGGGTTGTCTCCAGCTGGTGAGGTTGAGGGACTGGTTTCGCTGTAACTTGGCAGCACTGGGTTAACTGGTGGGACTAGATGATCTCGGAGGTCTCCTCTACCCTACACGATCTCCAAAGGTCTCCTCCAACCTAAACCATCTCCAAAGGTCTCTTCCACCCTAAACGATTTTATGATTCTATGTTGCGCATCGTTGGCAGAATAAGGACTTGCAGCGAATCACAATAGTTTGTGTTCTACTAAAAATTTAGGTACTTCCACCCTAAACAATTCTATGATTCTACGTTGCGCGTCGTTGGCAGAATAAGGATTTGCAGCAAATCCCAATAGCTTGTGTTCTACTAAAAATTTAGGTGTCCAAACCCATGAGATTTTCAAGGAGTATTTTATAATTTCTCCAAATAAACTCAAAGAAACTCTTTGCCAACCAAAGCGATGACACAACTGAGGCTTGTGCACTTGGGGGAGCTCCTCAAAAGTGTCCAACTTTGGGATTAAACCGGTCAATTAAAGGGAGAACGATTGAAAATGACTCTAAATGGTGAGAATCCAACCGTTCAATGACGTCACTTGTTTTCTGTGTAACAGTTGGAGTTGAGCGACAACATCATTTCAGGAGGCCTGGAGGTCCTCGCGGAAAGATGTCCAAATCTCACATATCTAAATCTAAGCGGCAACAAAATCAAAGATCTCGGCACTGTGGAAGCTCTTGTAAGTATGAAGTGAGGGGAGGTGCTGATGGAAAACTTAAATTAAATAAATACTGGTTTTTATCAAGAAATTTAGGTTTTTTGGTGATGGAATGGTACAAACTCAGGTGTAAGGGTTGCGTTGGAAGGGTTTTTCCAAGGATGGTCTGGAAACAGGAAGAAATAAAGTCCAAAGAGCGTGGTGTGTTCTTGCTGCCCGTGTTCCTTTTCAGCTGAAATGAAATTTCTTACCTGTTATATGTTCTAGATTTTATTTTTTTTACATACTGGGTATCGTGGTGTTTTATCTCCGGCGATAACTCCACTTGGCCCCCCCTTGATTGACTCAACGTCGTGGTTGTTAGAGATGGTGCTCGTTAAACTTAGGGCTGTAAAATTCCCTTGGTGGTTGGAGTGGGATGGACTGAAAAAGAGATTTATTTCTTAAATTATTTTTTTTTGGAGCTTCTGGTTTGTCTTTGAAAGAAAAGTAACCAAGTTCCATCCTGTCAATCCTCTCGTGTTGGCTTGTTAAGGTGCGGTTTTGTCTAATGAGCGACTCGTTAGATTCCATGGTGATTAATTGGGGGGCTTGGGGGCGGTCAGTGGGGAGCAGGGAGGGAGGTGACAGCGCCTGGAACCACGTCTCTGCACCCACTTTTCTGTCTGATTATCAAAATCCTTAAAAAGTATATAAATATTAAAATATAGACCGCGTATTTTTTTTAAACCGCTCGTAAAGATTCTTCATCCACTTCAAACCAGCAGTTTATAGGCAAATAAAGCTCTTAAAGCACTCTATAGAAGAAATATTTTAAATTATTTAGATTTTAGGTGCTGGTCAAGGCAAAGTTGCTCCTTTTGTAGCGTGTAGAGTCTGGAAGGTGAGAAAAATCACCTTTATTCCAGGTGAAAAATCACCGTTGGTTGTTTATTCCTTGTCATAAAGCAGGGTTAAATCCTACCCGTTGCCTCTTGCTTGCTCCTGGCGAGACGTGGCTGTAATTTAAGTAAACTATTTACCAAAAGGCTGCTGGATTTGGCAAGTTTTTGCCCAGGATTGGACAAAAATGGGCAATAGGAAATAAAAAAAGCAAAGCCCAGGCGGTGCCTGGTGGCCCAGCGCTTGGAGGATGCGTTGGGTCTGGAAAAGCCCTTCCAGCAGGAGCTCTGGCTGCTTTCTGAACTAAAAAGCTTATTAAGTAAAGTTTGTATTTAAGTGGAAGCAAAATATTGATTAGAAAAGAAGGGATTGGGAGAAAATAAACTCTGTATCCAGTTCTGTGGTTCCCTGGCTTTGGGCCGCGGCTGTCACTTGAAGTATCGCATCAAGAAATAAGGGAGGGGGGGAAACCAAACCCACCCTTTTTGATGTGTTTTCAGCAAAATCTCAAAAACTTGAAGAGCCTTGACCTGTTCAACTGTGAGATCACAAACCTGGAGGATTACAGAGACAGCATTTTTGAGCTGCTTCAGCAAATCACGTACCTGGACGGATTCGATCAGGAGGATAACGAGGCACCGGACTCGGAAGACGACGACGATGAGGGTAAATTCCTGAAATAAAATGATGGAAATGTGGTGGTGGGGGGGATATAGTGATTTTTTGGAATGTTTTAGCACCATTCTCTGCTCTTATTTTTGTAGAATTTGTCAGTGTTAACACACTGATACAGCAGGAAGACTCCTCTCGGAGGGTTTGAGTGTTCTTGCCTTCCGAGCTGAAGGAAATTTGACTAAAGATGATGCTGCAAAGCTAGAAATATTCTCAAAATAAGTTGTTGCCAGTGGTGAAACCCTTTGGCAGGACTGAATGATGCAAAGCGAGGGGGCAAACACGTTGTTTTGTAGGAAAAATTAGAATTTAACTGGGTTTTGTAATGGCTTCAGCCCCGTGATTAAGTCTAACGCGATTTTTTGGTTGAAAAAAATGTAGATGTAGTTCCTTTAAACGATGAACTCAAAGCTCTTTGGAGAAAAAACAACCAAGCATCCCAAATGTGTTAGAGAATACGCTGGGCTGTTGTTGTGATGGATGTTAAACATCCCCCCAAATAACTGCTGAGATTGGGGTTGTTGCTGTTTATGAGGGAGGTTTCTCCAGTGGTTTCTTGGTGCCCTCGATGATGAGCTGGAGCTGCTGGGTTGTGGCTTTTGAGGGGCTGTCGCTGAGTGAAGGCCAAATAGTTGATCTTCAGAATGTGAAAATAAACCCAATATTTGAGAATAAGTTAATAGGTTATTCACTTGAAAATGAATTTAAGTGTTAAATCACCTAATGTGAAAATAAACCCAATATTTGAGAATAGGTTAATAGGTTATTCACTTGAAAATGAGTTTAAGTGTTAAATCACCTCGGTTCTTGTAATTGGCTTAAGGAACCTGTGAAAGGGTTGAAATGCTCCAGACACAGAAATGGAGCATCTCTTTGGATCCGCAGCTGTTTCAGAGTTAGTAGTTGGTGAATAAATGGCTTAACTTTAAATATTTTAAGGTTTGAGTCTATAGAGAAGCCTCTCTCCCCTTCCCAGGACTAACTCAGCTCCCTGCTGGAGTTTCCCTACGTGGCTGCTTCAGGCGTTGAGAATTTTGCCTGAGATTTGTGATGGAAAAGCATCAGTAGTTTTTCTTCAGGGGGGAAAAACTAGAAATATTAACTTCATTAAAATCTTACTCGCTTCCCAAGTGTTACCTGCATTTAAAAACAATTAAAAACCCTCCCCAAACCCTTCTGGAAAAGAAGTTAAAATAGCTTGGCCTGATGTATCCAAACTTGCGTAAAGAGGAGTTAATAAAACTTAACTTTTAGTGTATCTGTCTGAGCGTATCCTTCATTTCAGAAGGAGATGAAGATGATGATGACGAAGATGAGGATGAAGCTGGTCCTCCAGGAGAATATGAAGAGGAAGACGATGAAGATGACGGAGGTTCAGATTTGGGGGAAGGCGAAGAGGAGGAGGAAGTTGGTCTTTCCTACCTGATGAAAGAAGAGATTCAGGTAAAATCGGTAAATTCTGTCAAATTGGAGAAATTCATTAAAATCGCCTACAGACCCTTGTTAATTGAGTCACGTAGATGCAGAGTGTGCAAATAAAGTGAGAGATTTTAGAGAGGATGCTGCTGTTGCTGAAATATGGAGTGGAAGGTGAGTGGTGGCTGTTGGGAATCAGCCAGGAGCATCTTCCTGGGCCTTGGTTTGTTTTTATCCCACCTCTGAATGATAAATATTAAAGCAAAATAAATGAATTTCTTTTGGAAACCCAAAGAAAATGCCCCGCTCTTGCGAAAGAATAGCAATATTTCAAGTTACCAATATTTCAAGAGAAATTAAATAAAGGAAATGTCTATGTTTTTGCTGGAATAGGTTTTTTACCCCACACTCACTTAAAAACATTCTTGGGGGTGGTGGAAAAAGGCCCATGGGATCTTTCAGGTCACTAAAAAGCAAATATTAGGAATATATATAGGAGTATTAGGAGCATATATAGGAGTATTAAGGAAATACACCCATTTTACAAGGTTATTAATGTATCTAGGAAATACACCCATTTTACAAGGTTATTAATGCACCTTTAGCTATAAATTGGTGATGCCTAAATGCTGCTTGGACAGAAGTAAAACCCAGGAGCCCTGACTTAGAGCTTTTTGAGGGTTTCAGAGGGAGAAGGTGTCTGGGGTGGGTTTTGTGCGAGCAGGTTGCCCATTTTAGGTCAAATAAACCCTATCGACATCGCTTCGTTACTGTTAATTTTGATAAGGGTTTACATCCGATTGGCTGTGTGTGGAAAATCTTGAGTTAAATTCTTTGGTTTTCTTCATTTTGTTCTTCTACCCAGCCCTCACGTGATTTGTTTAGAAATGGAACTGCCTTAATACTCTGAATTCAGGAGGTAATGGCTGTGACACAGTTAATGAAGCTAAAACTAAATAAGTCAATCTATTTTGAAGCCAAGACCTCAGAGAGAGTTCTTTGGAAAATGAACAATATGTGACTAGGAAGAATATCAGGGAATTAATTATGCGTGGTCATTAGTTTATGTATATGCCCTGCCTTTTGGGTGGGAGTCCATGCCCCAGGACAGTTTGGGGGTGACCTGTTGGGGAGCAGCTCTGAGGAGAAAGACCTGGGAGTCCTGGGGGACAACAAGGGTGCCCAGGAGGCAGCAATGGGCCCTGGTGGCCAAGGAGGCCAATATCATCCTGGGGGGCATCAAGAAGAGCGTGGAGAACCTCAAGGGAGGTCATCCTGCCCCTCTGCTCTGCCCTGGCGAGGCCCCAGCTGGAGCACTGGGACCAGTTGTGGGCTCCCCAGTTCCAGAAGGACAGGGAAGTGCTGGAGAGGGTCCAGCAAAGGGCTACGAGGATGCTGAGGGGCCTGGAGCATCTCTCTGGGGAGGAAAGGCTGAGGGACTTGGGGCTTTGGAGTCTGGAGAAGAGAAGGCTGAGGGGGGATCTGATCAACACCTGGAAATCCTTCCAGGGTGGGGGTCAGGAGGATGGGGCCAGGCTTTTCCCAGTGGTGCCCAGGGACAGGACAAGAGGGAACGGGCACAAACTGGAACAGGGGAAGTTCCATCTCAACATGAGGAGGAACTTGTTGACTTTGAGGGTGGCAGAGCCCTGGCAGAGGCTGCCCAGAGAGGTGGTGGGGTCTCCTTCTCTGGAGACATTCAAACCCCACCTGGACACGTTCCTGTGGGACTGGGTGATCTCCAGAGGTCTCTTCCAACCCCAAATCATTCTGTGAATTGTCACACACAGATGTGACAGTGTCAGGGGAGCTGGGAACCAGGTCCCTTCCAACCCCATAGAGTTCTGTGAATTGTCACACACAGACGTGACAGGTGGCCCCTCTGGTGCAACAAAAGCAGAGGCCGAGTTTGTATTTTGCGTTCATTTTGGTTTTCACATTTTCACTGGTTACATGACTCTGTGGGTAAAATTCAATCTGGCAGATGGGTATAAAAATCAGACTTCAGTTTGTCTTCAAAGCTTGACACGGTGCTGGGAGGGCAGAGTTCTCACACTGCTGTTTAATTTTCTCATTGTTAATTGGTTTACATTTTTCAGCTATCAGCTTTGAAAAAAAAACGAGGAAAAAACCAACCACCCCACCAACTTCATTCATTCGCCACAGAAACAATAATTTTGTGAAGATATTAACTGTTCTGCTTTCTCCTCTCTTTTCTCTGGGGTTAAGAGGAAAACTGAAGCCTTTTGTTGTTTCTCTTTGCCGTCGTGGCCTTTTCAAGTTAATTTTTGCAATAATTTAACTCTTGAGCTGGCTTAAGGTAGCGATAAGTGGGGAAAAACAACTGAGAATCCGGGGCCAGATAATGCCCTGGCTGAAGTGATTAAACCTCCACCTGTCCTTGTGGATATTTCCAGTAACAAATAGTAAATGGGGAATGTGACCTCTGAGCAGAGTAACTGGGATTTTCTGAAGTTCCACTTGGGATCAGCGTGTAAGAAAAAAACTTCAATAAATTGCAATTTTAAAAGTATTTCCCGCTTTTTGTTAAGGATGAAGATGATGACGACGACTACGTTGAAGAAGGAGGTGATGAGGAGGAAGAAGGTAAGTTCTCAGGTTACTAAAGTTGTGACTAAACCGGTAGATTCTTCATAATTCTTTAATTTTGCAAGTTTGGGACGTGCACTGTAAATAAATCACTCCTTGGCTGGTGTGTTGCTGGAGGTGTGGGAGGTATTTTAGGATCAGTTTAGGCAAGAGTTGGAGCAGGCAGTAAAGGACAAAAAAAATTATTTTTTTTTGTCTGCTCACTTGTAAAATAAAGAAGAAATGACAGTTTTCAAAGCCTCTTGTTGAAGGATTTTTCTCAAAGAAAGATACTAGATACTGCGTCTCCTACACGGTTAGAAATTTTAATTTTCCAACATAAGCCTCTTGTTGAAGGATTTTTCTCAAAGATACTAGATACTGCGTCTTCTACATGGTTAGAAATTTTAATTTTCCAACATGGAAAGGAGAGAGACTCTTCCTTATACCTTGCAAATGTTATTTACATACATTTAAAATACTTTGTTTAATGCACCAGCAGCTCTGCTGGCAAAACCCCAGCAGTGGCAGGAGCTGCTGGATCTTTTCCTTTTATCGAGCTGAAAGCGATTTTTCCCAGTAAAACTTTCTTTAGAGGCAAACTGGGCCCAGTATCCCGTCGAACGGCTTAACTGGGGAGCCCAGTTAAGGTTTTTTCCATCTGGTCTTTTTATCAATGGTTGGAACTTCATTTTGTAAATTACTATTTTCATGTCAGACATGTGTGTAATAGTCAAAAGCTTGCAAAATATAAAGAAGCTGGTGTGTGTGGTCCATCCTGCTTTAAGATGGCACAGGATATTGAGTGTCTGGACCCCACGTGGAAGAGGTGATGTTCTTCTTGCTGTTCCTTGAGTACTTTTTCATAAAACAACACTTTATTTTATCGTTTTTGATAGTTTAGAGTCTTTTGGCAGGAGCTGCTGGATCTTTTCCTTTTATCGAGCTGAAAGCGATTTTTCCCAGTAAAACTTTCTTTAGAGGCAAACTGGGCCCAGTATCCCGTCGAACGGCTTAACTGGGGAGCCCAGTTAAGGTTTTTTCCATCTGGTCTTTTTATCAATGGTTGGAACTTCATTTTGTAAATTACTATTTTCATGTCAGACATGTGTGTAATAGTCAAAAGCTTGCAAAATATAAAGAAGCTGGTGTGTGTGGTCCATCCTGCTTTAAGATGGCACAGGATATTGAGTGTCTGGACCCCACGTGGAAGAGGTGATGTTCTTCTTGCTGTTCCTTGAGTACTTTTTCATAAAACAACACTTTATTTTATCGTTTTTGATAGTTTAGAGTCTTTTTCCCACCTGGTTTGAGGTTTCCAGGTGTTCAGGGTGGGGACCACCCTTGTGTCCGATGCTCCTCCTCCGTTCTGGACCACAGGAACAGAAATTGTGCTTGGTTTTGGTGCAGAAATGGGCACACTCTGATCAGTGGGTGCCTTAGTTGTGTGATACAATGAAGACACCAGGCAGAATTCCCCTGTTACAACCCCTTAATGGTTGCTAAAGACCCTTTAAAAAAAATAATCAAGCTTTATCTTAAAATTAGCTGTTTTTTCCTCTGTACTTCTCTCGCTAGGACTTTTCCAGAACTTCTCTTTTTTCGTGGTTGGGATCTCTGTCCCAATCCTTGGGATCTCTGTCCCAATCCTTCAACTATCCCGAGCAGCAAAAGTTCTGGATTAATCCTGAAGTCTTGTGTGAACTGTAGACAAATTGTAGAATTTCTCACCAGACTCCTTCCCATCTCGTCTGGGGCAGTTCTTGGAGATGTATCTTGCACTTGAAAAAAAAAAACAAACCTGAAATTCTGAAGTAGTAATGCTAATTCTTGGCTCTTTACAAAGGCAGCTTTTGAATCTCTTTAAGACAAGAAAGCAGGCGGTCGGGATGGGTAATTAGCCAGGAAATGACTGCTGGAAAAGAAATCTATTAAGATTGGACAAAATTGCATTTCAGGATTTCACCACAAGAGCGCACAGTCCACTGGGTGAATTAAGCAGATTTCTGAGAATAAGCTCAAAGATGTTTATGCAAGATGCTCCTGTGGGTCTGTCGCTGGGGAGAGAGCGCGGCGCGTTTCGCTTGGTCCCGACAGAAATTGGGGGGTTTGGGGCAGGGCCTGTGCAGCTTCTCACAACTGAAGTTGGGTAGAAAAGCATCATTTTTGGTTTAGTTCTCAAATACGTCACAGAATCACCTTTTTATAAATCTGCTTGGAATATCACAGGCTTAGCTGGGACTGAGTGGCCTGCATGAGTTATGCAGAGGAATGTAAACTGATTTTTATTTTTATTTTTTTTTTGAGATGTTACAGCGGGGAATGCATTAAGGACAAACAAACAAACCCTAATTTATTTTAATTACCTTTTCTAAAGTCTGAACATTGCCTTGATGATGTCTGAGCACAACGTAACGGCGTGTTTCCCTCTCTTCCTTAGCAGAGGGCATCCGAGGGGAGAAGAGGAAACGAGACCCTGAAGACGAAGGCGAGGAAGAGGAGGATTAATTTGTTATAGACACAAGTAGGACCAGACTCTTTTAAGTTCCAGAATACGCAATAGTGATTATGCAGATCTGTATGTCTCCATGTACCATAGATGTCCCTACAGAAGATAATACGTTAACTTTTTATAGGAGAAGTGTGGTTTTACTATTCTTGCCCTTTTTATCATTCCAAATAAGATATAATAGCCTGGTAGTGAACCTATATGTAGAAAAACAATTTTCAGCCCTATAATTACTGAAGCCATTGTCAAGTTTTCCCCCCCTCTCCCCCCCTAGACTTTTATTTGGAGCTCTTTAATTTCATACAAGCTTGCTGTGTTTGGTCATCGTTAGCCCGGAGTTAAAACACCCTTTTCACACGGGTTTAATATTGTGAATTTCCTTGGAGATTTTAAAAGTTTTTTATACTTAAAAAGCTGAACTCAAAAAATACTAGATGGCAAATTCTAGTCGCTTTTCAATGAGATGCTGAGTGGAGTCTGGAGTTTACCAGGGATTCTATTTGAAACTGACAACTAGATTCCACCTTTATTTCAGCTTTTTAAAAGGTGACTCCTGTAATATTATTTTTTTAAGTCTTCTATCCATTTTCTGTGTTCCATTGTAAAGCCTAAATGGGTTTCAGAAGATGTGGTGTTTTTTTTTTTCCTGCTTGTTGAGCTGTTCGGTGTTTGCTGGAGCATTCACTAAAATACCTTCAAGAAGGGATCTCGGCAAACGGAAAGGGTCAAATCTGTAATTTTTCTCCAGAAGACACAGTCATTGCAGGTATTAACAAAAGCAAATAACGTGTAGTTGTAAAAGCATTTCACCGGGAAAGTCTGTGTTCAACTTTCACTCACTTCGCTCTCGCATCGTCATTTTGGGAATTCTGCAACAATCATGGTGTTTGGCTAGAAAATATATGCATTTTTATGCAGAAGTTTAACGGGTAACTCCTTCAAGCACATTTTTTTTGTTGTTTTCAAACAACCCCCCCCTTCCTTTTATAGAATCGTTGAAATATGGAATTTTTTTCAAAAGTTTTACCGGGAACCCCTTTAAGTACCTTTTTTTTTTTTTTTTTGGTTTTCAAACAACCCCCTCCTTCCTTTTATAGAATCGTTGACGGGGGAAAGATGAAGAGAAAGAAGTTAAGTCTTTCTTCCCAGTCTGAAACTTTGAAAAAATCTGGTTGTAGGCAAAAAACATCCGAGTTGGTGTATGATACTAGTGAATAGTTTAGGATTTTGATTTTTTTTTATAAGGAATGGCTGCAGAAACTTGTGGGTGGAAGTACAGGGGATGTGCAGAGGAGCTTTTCTTTTTTTCTAGCAGCCTGATTGTGACCACCAGGTCTTTAATAAATAATTCTGCCCCGAAGGATTCGTGTTTGAGCCACCGCGAAACAAGTTGAGCCACAGAGTGTTCCTCTCTCAGCCGTGATTTGGACTTTTTAAAACAGTCATCGTTCTTCCTCTCAAAACTTAATTTCCATTGTTTCACGTAGGTACTGAACCAAATATCACACACAGCTTTATTCAAGAGACTTATTTTTATATCTGTCTTGGCTGACGATAGCTGCCATTTAAACTGGGGGAGACACCCAGGGTGGGGAAGAGGGGAGATTCCTGGATCTTAAAATTAAGAGTCAAGTCGCCCGTAGGTGGGTTCCCTGTCGATATTTAATGGGTATTTCACACACTTAGCAGACTTTTAAAAAAGTGACTCCCGGCTCTTAAATCAAGGTTAGATACTGCAGGGTTGAAGTTCTGCAAAGCCCAATTTCTTTTGTGTGTGGGGTTTGTTTTTTTTTCCCTCCCCCAAATAGAGCCTTAAATCTGAATTTCTCCCGTAGCTGTAAAAGCAGAGCCCTTGGAGGCGAGTCAGGCTTGGAAATGAACTGACTTAACATGGGGGGGGGTGTTGCATATTATTATTTTTTTTTTTAAATGAATTATCTGTAAAGACACTAGAAAAGTAGCGGTAAAACTACATTTGCGAGCCCGATCTTTTTAAGTTCCTGTGTTTGTGTCTGAATACTGAACGACTAGAACCCGTAGGTAAGTGCACATCCTGTCTTCTCCTGGAGGCTCTGTGTTCCAGGCGGTTGCTTTCTGCTCAGCTTTGAGATAGAAAAAAAGTGGCTTTTCCCATCTTTTTGGCTTTTTTTTTTGTAAGTCTCGGTGAATGGTTGAAGCCTCTTATATTTATAAGCGTGTACTTTAAAGTACCTCATCGTCAGGGTTTTCCTTAAACTGTCTTTTAGTGATGCATGTAAAATGAGTTCTAAATGGGGAAAAACTTGTATTTTGATGGATTAAAATTGAGTTACCAGTGGTGGTGGTGCGATAAGAGAGTCCAATTTTGACATTGGATGAGCTAATTGGAAGAGAATTAACTCAGAAAGGGGGTTTGCAGACCTGCCCTAGGACAGCAAGACTTTATCCTTCCTTTAAAAAAACAAACAAACAAAAAAAAACCAAACAAAAAACAACCTGCAGGGTCGGGCAACAGCCTCTATGGCTAAAAAAAATCTGAGCCTCGCACTAAACTTCCCCAAAATCCTTTGTCTTTTCCTCAGCGTCACCATCTCAGTCGAGTTTCCTATTTTGTCAGCTTGGCATGCCACTAAAACAGCATAGCATTTTTTTTTTTTTTTAAATAATAATTAAAAAAAAAAAAGTAATACAGAGCCTCCAGATAACTTTTGAAACTTTTTTGCTTGGTGGGTGGTCTTTTCATGCAAAATATGTAAGGGTGGGTTTTATATTTTGTAGAGGTTTTTGTCCTATTTTAATGCTCTTTGTATGGCAGTATGTATATAGTGTGTTTCGGTTCCTTATTATCAAACTCTTTCCTTAAAACTTTGGAGTAACTGATTTTGTGCAACTGTGTTTTGAATAAAGCCATGACAGTGTTAAATTAAAGAAAACAACCCTGCAGCACTCTTCGGATAATTTTTAGTTGTAACAAAAACATGTTTCCTCCCCACGTGTGCTGTAAATTTTAAATTAAAAAAAAAAAGTTTTCAAACCGAATTATTTCAAATAAATTGAGACTATTGTATTGGATTACTTCTTTTAGTGTGAAAATGTGGGATTTCTTAAAGAATGGAGGAAGAGATGATTGTTCTTTCCTGGTATCTCTTAGTTATTGGGGAAACCTGTAGGATTGTGCATCTTCCTGGGGCTGTGCAAGTCTGGCAGAATCTTAAAATACAATTTTAATTTTTGTTTCTTTTCATAAATGCTGACATAAATACCCATAAATGCCCAACAGCCCCAAGCTCCAAGTCTAACTCTGGCTGTCCTTTTAAAGCAGTCTGTGTGGATTGTTCCTCGTTGGAGAGCAATGTTTAAAAAAAAAAAAAAAAAAAAGGCTGATTCTCCCATACAGCTAGACATAGCATTGTTTTTATTTTGGGATTGGGCCAGCATTCTTGGCAAAAATCCCCTGGATGCACTTGAGAAAGTGAGTAACTAAACAGGCTCTTCTTCTATTAGATGAATGATTAGCCAAGAAATGGGTGGTGGTTTTCTGGGTGTTTTTTCTTTAAGTGTGTGGAGAAATTGCCTTTCCATCTAAAGCCCCTTTGCTCCCTATTTGCCCACTGGATTGAGACCAAATGGGAAACCTGATTTAGAATCATTTTTAACAGGAGTTTGGTCTACCTTTTGGGGATAGTGGTGGGTTTATGGTAAGGAAAACCAGGCTCTTCCATTCTGGCAAAGGAGAGATGAAATTCAGTGCTGTGTAGGCACGTCTTCAAAAAATCAGGAAAAACTTGAGGTGTGGGCTGGAGGGTTCCTGAGCTTGTTCTGTTGGGAGCTGAGCAGCTTGTCGTGACCTGCCAGAAACCACCTCTCTCCCTGCCACAGCCCGGCCCTCTCTGGGTTTCAAACACACCTTCTGCCGCTGCAAAAACCATCCATCCGGCTCCCGGAGGCGAGATGTTCCCCAACGGCTGGAAGATGGGCTGGTTCCCCGCTCCCACTTGAGGGAAACCAGCTAAATAAGCGCCCCAGACTGCTGTCTCCAGCGGAATCCCATGGGCTCTGCCGTCCTCCATTTTGTCGCAGTGAGGGGAAGCCCTGCTGGCGGCCGGCCGCGTGGCTTCCTCCTTCCTCCTGCTCCTCCTCTCGGAGCTTTTGTCTTTTGTCGCCCCTTCTTTCTCTTTCCCGCCCCCCTCTCGGCCCTTATCACTCCCTTCCAGTTGCGCTGCTTCCCCTCCCCTTCCTTCCTCAGAAGAGGCCGGGGAGTGCCGGGGAGGGGAGGGTCCGCCATTTTACCCCCCCCCCCCC